AACAAATGACAAAGTTGTCACGTCCCTCGCTCATGGACGTGCGTAACATCAGGATTTATCCGGTGTATGACATTTGCAGACTGCAGACTGCAGAGTGCAGACTGCAGACTGCAGACCGCAGATTGCAGACCACAGATTGCAAATCGTAAATTAAAAGACACCAAAAATCTTCCTAATAAAGGTGACACCATCAAAAATATAACATCGTGCGAAAGTGAGAAAGTAGCCTGGGAACGAGGTGGATATTTTTATTGACTCACCCAGCATATCACTAATTGCGTTGATTCTTTATTCTTCTTTGATTATTGTGAATTGATAATGAAAAAAAAAAAAATTTTTAGATTGCGAGCACTTACGTCGAGAAAAACAACTAGGATAGATCACGGACATTTAACACCTTTTAAATGACGTATTTCTTCTTAGCAGTATTTAAGGATATGCAAAATAATCTAAACCGAACAGATCCTCCCTGGACTCGACAAATTACCGGAAGTGCATTTTGAATTTCTAAAATAATAGGGAAATCGACAATGGCTTTTTTAACAGGCCAATCATTGCTCATACTCAAATCCTAGTACACAGGTGGGGCCCCTGTAGAATAAGGATTCCGGCGCTGTTTCACAGACAGACTTATATAGCCAGAGTTTAGTTTCGTCTGTGGTGCAGGTTAAATTGCTAGCCTCTTGCTATGGATTCATGAGCGAGTTGTGACATCGGCAGACATTACTCTGCTCTAATTCAATACGAGAAGAACAGCCAACAACTCCTTCAGGAATGAGGTCGGTGTAATTTGCGTGAAAAATAATAATAAACTTCGCTTCTAGGTCTTACATGTACTTCTCGGAAAGAGGTAATGTTGATAATGACGCCACCTTTATTACGATATTTTTGGTTTCATTCAATTTACAGTCTTGCTGCCTCATTCAGTCTGCTGTCTACAAATGTCATACACCGGGATTCATCTGACATTCATCGGCAACTGATCATGAGTTGTTCGCTTCACTGAGTACGACAGCTTACAATCAAGTCTTCAGCCATAATGTCGTCAACTGGTGAAATACTTTGCTCATAAATTGTGCTTATTAATTGCTTATGTACTACATCAATCGATAATTCTCTCTTTGAGTTCACGAAGCGGCCCTGGCGTTCCAAACCTAACGCTCACAGTCATCTTTTAGTGTGAACTTACTGTGAATGGCGTGTAGGTTTGTATGCAACGTGAGCATTTCTCTGAGTTTCCCAGCGCCAACATCATCAACTGACTTAAACTCCAACAATAAAAAATGTTATCGAGTGACTCCTATGATCGAATCGCTTCGAACAACGCAAAAAGCCTTCTTCAGGTTCGCAACGCCTTCTGGGTTTCTGGTGGGGAGGGGGCGGAGACGAGGTAAAAAAGTATTCGTGCAAGGGTCCGTGCAAGGGAAAATCCTATGAAACCATTTGTGAGAACATCGTTTCTCGGTACCAGACCCTCGTGTCTTCCCTCCGCCGGGAGGCCGTTTTTCTGCACTGACGACCGAAAACCGAATTTACAACTGGGCCGCACAGGCAGCCCAGTAAAAAAATATTGTAATGTCCATTACGGGCAACAGTAGCTAACTTTATCCGCAGTTCAAAAATTTTTTACTGCAAACTTGCCATGGCAAAAATGGTTGGAGCAAGGAGCACTGGTAACATACAGAAGGAAGCAAGACAAGCAATGGCCCTTATGTGTGATTACATCAGATGAGCAAATTTCACCACCAAGCCTTGTTTGTGAGCAAAATTCTTCGCATTTGCACTCTTTGTGCGTAGGTTTTCTTTTCAACTGTACTGCCTTGGGAATTCATTTATGTAAAACTTCGCAACTTTATATTTTGAAAATGAGACGTAAACATCCATAAGGGCTATTTCTGAACTTTGATATGCTAATGAAATTATACATGTAGCGACAAAGAACACCAGTATGCAGCTATATGTACACAAGCCCTTTGGAGCTAGCGATAGAAAATTATCACTGTGTTGGTCAGAACAAGAGATTACCCTGGGAGAAGAAAAACAAGGGAATTAATTATGATTTAAAACCTTTTTTGTCTTGTTCAAGTGAGTCTATTGCTCTCCAGCTAGGTGATTTTGTACTGCATAAACGACTCAAAGAAGAGCACTTATCAGCTTGTTTCACAATGAAAACAAAATTGGTGTACACGCCCAAGTTCACGTTTTGGGGACAGCATGAAAATGAAGGCTGGTTTGTTAAAGTGGATGAAACATTCGTTGTGTATTTTGAGGCATTTATTCTACAGACTGCTGAAAAAGCGTCAGTGGTGTATTATTCATAGCTTGAAAAGTAATTACACTGTAGTATACTTTTCAAACAATTTAAGAAAACAAAGTAATAATGCCTTGATGGGAGATTACTTTACAGATCTTCTGTAACTATATATTAAAATCAACTAAACTTGATTCATTTTCGAGCCCTCAATTCAGAGGTTGCTTATAATATTATTATATATCGTCTGCGCGCAGGCTAGTTTAAAGCAAGCTTTCAAGATCAGTTTCTCGAGTCCCCCTTTGCAGCTAGCCATTGACGCCGTTGAAAACCGCCATGCTCGAGAGCAAAAGTCACACTGGGGAAAGACAACCAGAGGTAATTACTATTTACAATGTAATGTATGCCTTTTGTTTGTCTTGTCCCAGTGCGACTCTGCAGTGCTCTTCAGTACGGCGGCATTGCACCACATGAATGGATATCTGCAAAGGACCTACTTCCCAATTTCCCTTCCGCTTACAATGCCTGCCATCTAACAAAAAGCGGTCTCAAGCGTCTGCGAGCGCTTATTTTTACCGTCAAGACATCGTAGGCGATTATTTTCCTGCGCAACCCACTGCGAAGATCAGTAGTGCCATGTATGAGTACAAGGGTGCACTGAGACCACTGCTGGAGGGGAAGTCCTCATATGTGAAAATGGCGGAGATGTTTGCTGGCAAAGTGACACCTCCCACTATACTTTGGGCTTGTCTCCACCTTGCTTTATCTCATCTCTTAACGTACCATTGCCAAAATAGAGCAACAACAGGACTCCTGGCGAGAGTGGTTTTACTTAAAATTACGATTACATCGACATTTTCTTTCTTTTATATCGTCACTGACAGCCCGAAGAGCCACATGCATTTGTCAAACTATTGGCATTCCGTAACAGGTCCTGAACACGGCAAGTGACACCAGAATGTTCCACCGACTCTCCCTCCCTCCCAAACGCTCTTTGCACGTCATGCAACGCCTTTCCCCTTTCCTTGGAAGAAGCATTATGTGATGAGACAAAAAACGACTGCGTTGAAGACTACTATAGACACTGACGAAGACAACGCGCATCCCTGCCACTTTTCCATGAGAATCCCCAATATGAAATTTATGATCATTTTCAGGGGTTTTCTAGGGCTGAAAAACGAGGGAGACTCTTAATGACTTTTACTGGGTCCGATCAGAATATTTTACAAATCGAGAGATTTCCTAAGAGATCCAGGAGTAAAACGTAGGCAAGCCCTGTATGTCTTAGCTCCTAGTATTCATGAAAATGTTAATATCAACATCAAGGAAACAAATTAATTTAATTTTTCGTTGTCTTTATTGTTTTTACTTTTTTTTTTTTTTTCATGATTTTTATTATTTTTTTTACAATTATTATTTAATGGTCCCATGTACAACAAAGAACTAAACAGTGCTATTTTGCACTTCTACAAGGTTTCTTACTACGCTCTTCCGATTAATATCCACGAGTAAATAGTTGGCAAGTCTTTTTTTTTTTATCTCCTATTATTCATGAAAATGTTTATCTCAACATCAAGGAACCAAATTAATTTAATTTTTTGTTTTCTTTATTTTTTTTACTTTTTTTTTTTTTTTCATGATTTTTATTATTCTTGTTACAATTATTATTTAATGGTCCCATGTACAACAAAGAACTAAACAGTGCTATTTTGCACTTCTACAAGGTTTCTTATGAAAACTCATTTTCACAAGAAAGGTTTTAAAATAGCCTCGTTTTGAAAGTGCGGGTTTTTGGAATTCGGAAATGGCCTATTCGCCACATGTAAGGGAAATCAATCTGGTTTTCGGAATCAGGAAGTTTTTGCTTGAGTAATCTGGATTTCTGCCCTTTGAAATCCTCAAAAAAGCTCAAAGAATCCAGAATCCCACTAACAATTGGAATACACTATTCCAGTCTTTTGCACTTGACAAAACAAGATCATTTTTTCTTAATAATTATCCTTCAACAATCCCTGGCATACCATGTACCCGTAACTTACTTCTTAGTCAAAAATAAGACTGTCTCGGATTGCCTTCCACGGGGCGAATATTATGCAATATTCACAACGATCTTTAGTTTTAATAGACTATTTTTGACCCATATAATCAAGAAGGCGGAAGGAAAAATTAAAATGCACTATTTGGAAGCCCTTTTTCACTTAAAAAAATAAAAAAAAAACTTTTACTACGTTATTTTCCTTCAGCAACGCCTGGCACGAAACGAAAAACTTAAAGCCGATTCATCCCGTTATGTACCACTTGTTAATTAAAAAAAAAAACAAAGGCAATCTGGCAAAGAGAATAATGAGAAACTAGTATGTTGCTCATTGATCAACATATTTTCCTTTTCTGTGCCATTATAGAAAATCTGTGGAAAATAACGTGAAGAAAATGCATGCTAATGTAAATGTTACATTAATGTTAATGTTAAATGCATGCTAATGTTACATTTTAAGAGACAGACGATAAACTTTTTGATGGTTCAGGTTTTTCTATCGGTATTTTCTAATTGACATACTGTGTCGAACTAGTTATTGTACCCCAAATAAATATCATTTATTTACACAACACAGTACCAATTCAACTAGCAAGACTCTATAAGGGCGATGAATTAGCTCGAACAATCTTACTAGCAAAATCCGAGAAAATCAACCAACGACGTAAGTTATGATAACTAAACAATGTTACAAGTAATACAGCATCTGTGATTTTTTGGCTGAATAAACTTGACATGGTCATCAGTGCTGAGGGCCAGCAGCTGCTGGGCATCCAAAACATGCTGCACATCACCTAATAAACGGTACGTACACGCGACGTCAACATGGTCGGGTCCAAGTTTATTCAGTTGTACGGACAGGGCACGTTCATAATACTCCTTGGCCTCTTGATACTCACCCAAGTCCTTATGTAGAATACCCATGTTATGGAACGTACTCGCGACGTAAACATGGTCGGGTCCAAGCTTATTCAATAGTATGGACAAGGCACGTTCATAATACTCCTTAGCCTGTTGATGATCACCCAAGTCGTGATGTAGCTTACCCATGTTATGGTACGTAGTCGCGACGTCAACATGGTCGGGTCCAAGCTTATTCAATTGTATGGACAAGGCACATTCACAATACTCCTTGGCCTGTTGATGCTCACCCAAGTCCTCATGTAGAATACCCATGTTATGGTACGTCTTCGCGACGTCAACATGGTCGGGTCCAAGCTTATTCAATTGTATGGACAGGGCACGTTCATAATACTCCTTGGCCTGTCGATGCTCACCCAAGTTTCTATGTAGCTTACCCATGTTATGATACGTAGTCGCGACGTTAACATGGTCGGGTCCAAGCTTATTCAATCGTATGGACAGGGCACGTTCATAATACTCATGGGCCTGTTGATGCTCACCCAAGTCGTGATGTAGCTTACCCATGTTATGGTACGTACTCGCGACGTAAGCATGGTCGGGTCCAAGCTTATTTAATTGTATGGACAAGGCACGTTCATAATACTCCTTGGCCTCTTGATACTCACCCAAGTCATGATGTAGGTTACCCATGTTACGGTACGCACTCGCGACGTAAACATGGTCGGGTCCAAGCTTATTCAATTGTATGGACAAGGCACGTTCATAATACTCCTTGGCCTGTTGATGCTCACCCAAGTCGTGATGTAGGTTACCCATGTTACGGTACGTAGTCGCGACGTCAACATGGTCGGGTCCAAGCTTATTCAATTGAATGGACAAGGCACGTTCATAATACTCCTTGGCCTGTTGATGCTCACCCAAGTCCTTATGTAGGCTAACCATGTTATGGTACGTACGCGCGACGTCAACATGATCGGGTCCAAGCTTATTCAATTGTATGGACAAGGCACGTTCATAATACTCCTTGGCCTGTTGATGCTCACCCAAGTCGTGATGTAGGTTACCCATGTTATGGTACGTACGCGCGACGTCAACATGGTCGGGTCCAAGTTTATTTAGTTGTACGGACAGGGCACGCTCATAATACTCCTTGGCCTGTTGATGCTCACCCAAGTCCTTATGTAGGTTACCCATGTTATGGTACCTACGCGCGACGTCAACATGGTCGGGTCCAAGGTTATTCAATTCAACGGACAAGGAAAGTTCAAAATACTCCTTGGCCTGTTGATGCTCACCCAAGTCCTTATGTAGGTTACCCATGTTAAGGTACGTGCTCGCGACGTCAACATGGTCGGGTCCCAGCTTATTCAATTGTATGACCAAGGCACGTTCATAATACTCCTTGGCCTGTTGATGCTCACCCAAGTCGTGATGTAGGGTACCCATGTTAAGGTACGTACTCGCGACGTCAACATTGTCGGGTCCAAGCTTATTCAATTCAATGGACATGGCACGTTCATAATACTCCTTGGCCTGTTGATGCTCACCCATGTGGTTATGTGTAGAAGCCATGTTACGGATAATTTCAGCCTCTTCTAAGTGATCAGGCACTGTCTTGTTTTTTTTGTGTTCACTGAGTTTTAAAGCTACAATGAAGTAGTCCAAGGCTGATAGGTACTCACCATGGAGATAGCAAACGTAACCAAGCACGTGAAAGTCATGCACAGTTTCACATAAATCTTCAAAAGTGGTTTTGATAAAATCGAACTTCTCTGTACTAAAGAAAACATTTTTAATTTCGGCAGCTAGAGTTTTCAAGTGTGGAACAATATGCCTACTTTCACACACAGAATCTGCACTTTGCAGGATCTTTGGTATTGCTTCGTTTATATACTTACTAAATGACTCCACCGCAACAGAAACAACTCGGACATGTTCATCAGTTTGCATTTGTTTTTTTACTAAACTCTTGACAATATCGTGTACTACGTTATGCAAACGAATGTTGACATCACCCTCATTGTCGATTAACAGCAAGGAGGACCCTTGGATCTGAATGCCTATTTCCTCTTCATCCAACTCTCCATCAGCATTTACAACGTAAGTGGTCAACAAGCGTAGCCTCACTGGCTCTGGTGCACAAAGAGCAAGAAAGGTGAAAGCATGCTTCATTATTTTATTAGAATCAATTTCCGCTTTAACGGCTATCCTAGTCGCTTCTGTCATAGAGTCCGGGTAGATATTGTTTACTTTGGTAAGTTCTTCTTCAGTACGTTCACGCTTTCCTTTTTCTAGTTTTTGTAAGTACTCCTCCCAGCCAAAGTCTGGATTGGTATTACGTACCTTTCTCACGTACACTCCTGCACTGGCTAGTGCAAGTGGTTGGTAATCCAAAATGTGCGCTACCTTTTTTCCTATACCATCGTCTGTGATTCCTGTGAGCTCGAACAGAAGGTTGGCAACTTCAGTGTAAATCATGCCTTCGCTTATAGAAAAGTGAGATGTGATTGGACTTTCAGGTGGGATACAGGCGGAATCCTGCGTTGTGATAAGCAGCTGGCCTTTGCCCCACTGCTCATTCCCACGCTCAGGAAGAAACTGACCCATTTTTGCGAGATTTGTGACATTGTCAATCACCAAGAGCCAAGATGAGTACAGGTGAATTTTTGTCGCAATTAAATCTTTGATAATGGCTATTTTCTGTTCAGCATTTAAATCCTTGGAGTTTTCAGTGGAAGTTGTAGTGTACGCGGGACAGCTTACTTTTCTTGCCAGTGAAAAGTATGATTCCAAAAGCGATTCTAAGTTTTCAGCATTTAAAGTCATAACAAATGAAGGAGCAGTCGTGTCTTTTCGGGCTTCTTTGTAGAAATTCTCAGCAACCAGTCCAGCCAGCTGGGATTTGCCACTGCCGGGATTGCCTGAAATATAACAAAAACTTAAACTGTTCACGTTAGCCTTCCTTAAGGTAGTCAGCTTCTGCAACACGCTAGCAACGTCAGAGTCGCGACTTGCGATCACATGGGGAGGTTTGGGTGGAAGGACGCAAAATGGCTCCACCTCGCGATGAAGTTGCTCTTCAAAGACCTTGCGCTGTTCTTCTGTAGTTTTTAACCTGACTTTGTTCTCTTGAAGCTCTGCTTCCTTCTCTTGAAGTTCGTTATGCCTTTCTTGTAACTTGTCTTTTTTTTGCTGAAGTTCAACATCTTTGTTCAAAAGCTCTGTTGTTTTCTTCCCCAATTCAATAGCTTTGTCTTGAAGTTCCGTGTCCTTCGTCTGAAGGTCCTGAGTAAGTTTCTGATTGCTTGTCTTCACATTTTGCAACTCAGGGGTTGGAAAACTTCTCTGCTTACTTACAGTTTGGATGTCAGCAGTAGACAGGCAAAGGGCTCTAAATGCTCTCTCCACTTTTGCAACAGTGATGCTGAAGTCTGCATTTGAGAGCTGACCTTCTGTCATGTGAGCGAAGTCTTCATTTCGAAACTTTCTAAGATCGTCAACGTTGGTTCTGATCATTGGGCTTAGTCCGTGAATAGAATCAGAGAACAGGATGGCATAAAATAACATAGTACAGTCCCATTCTGCTCTGTCTCCTTTAGCCATCGTAGCTAACAATCGAGCATGTTTTCTTTGATTAGCAGGGGACTCACTGTTTTTGAAGTCCAATCCATTTTGAGGCGTGTCTTTCCATTCTCCATACGTTGCCTTGTAACGATTATCCCATTCTTGCTTGAACAGTAGTCGTAAAGCTGGAGGCAATATGTCAGTGGCTATGTGACAAACCCGGAAATAGTTAAGCTGTTTCTCCGAATAAACTTTAGTAGCCATTTGGTAACGGAGGGGAGATCAGTCTTGTACCTTTTTAGAGAAAAAAAAAAGAACGACGTAATTAACTACGCCGGAGAGTATAACGGAGATCAGGGTATTCACGGGCGAAATTATTGCAGGCAAATTATATTACGGTTTTTATTCGGCGAGAAGATCAAGCCAGTGTTTGTCGCAAAGTAATAAAACTCTTTGACTGTTTAAATTTGAATAAGAAATACAACACGAAAACTGGTTATGATAAACATAAAAAGCAGTGAGGGATTTTGGATGCTTTAAATTTAACAATAGAGCTGCTTAATTAGACTGCACCCTGCGGCCTGTACAAGGCTCTCGATCAGTGCAGACGAGCGAAAAAGGCGGGCGAGCAGTGGAAAAGCCCCCCAAAAAAGGGGGGTTATGGGGGGGGGGGGGAATTCGTGAGAGCCTGTAAGCATCTTTTTAAATACGTCAATCCGCCCACTGCCTCGCCAACTTCCAGAAGAACCGTTTATTGTGTCATAATGAGGTGTAAAATGTTAAAATGTGCCGTGTAGGAGGGTTTCACACGTTTGCTATGTTTGTTCTTTGACTCTGCGTGTGTGAAGCCAACCGATTAGGGACTTTAAGATCCAACGACGTCACGGAGACGAGAACGTCCCTAAAATCGGAATTTGCGTTTTTTCAGTATTAATCACAATTATTCCGACGCACTTACATTGTCAAATGTAGGCGAACTCTCCTGAAGATGAATTCTAAGCGACCCTATCTCAGTCCAGAAAGAGAAATAAAATTTCGTCGTTGTATATTTACATTCTCCATAAATCACGATATTAGGCATTTTCCTATCATAATCGTGCAAAAACGGCAAAGATGATGTGCCAAAAAAAGTGATGCACTTGCTAAGTTGTTGTTTGCGTGTTAATGACTTGAAGTTTTTGGTTTTTGGTTTTTGTAGTTTCTCGTTGCGGTCGTGTCGTTAGATCGTTACATCCCTATTGACATGGATGACGTAAACTGTCAAAATTGACCAATCACAGGGTATACCAGAAGCTGGTATACCGAAATGATGTATTGAAAACAATGCTTACAGGCTCCACTTACCCGTCTCGCCCAAGCTCGAGGGTGCTAATGTGGGGGGTACCCAATTCTCAGTTAACTGCTAATTTTGGTTAGCCATTAAGTCTCACTTCACTACAGCGAATGTTATTCCGTCATAATCCGAATTTTCCTTCTTTCAGCAAGTCAATCACTTTTAGGGGTAGGCCCTACTAAAATCAAGGTATAAATTTACATGAACTCTGCCACTAGTACAATTTATTAGTAACTGAAAATATAAGTCGTATAACCAAAATAGATCCAGACGCACCAGTCATGATCTCCGTACTGATCTTTTCGACATGGTCATGCATGTCCTGCCATAAACTGCTTCAAAGGTCACCTTCTTCAGCACTTTCATTATCTGATCGGAATCGCAGACTTGTACTTATCTGGTTGCTGTATGTGCTGTATCTTATTGTTGGCCTACGTTTCAATCCCGGGGGGGGAGGGGGTACTCCCACATATGGGCTATATAGGTACGTGCCGCGGAATAGGGTATGGTTTTTGAGGTTCTCGGACCTTAAATAGGATATCTTTTTTGACCCTTTTGTTTCTGTGTCCCTGGTGTGGTCCTTAGATAGGGTAGCTTAATTTTAGTATCTAATACTGGAGTGTGAAAACGCCCGCCTAAACGAACATTTTTTTTTAAACTAGGCTTATTCTGGTATTTTATGCTTGATGATATACGTCCAGTGTTACAGACAAGAAATAAAGTTTTCCTTTTCATGCTATTAATAATTTTGTTTTTTCCTTGAATAGGGTGTCATTTTTCGGCTTTCGGCCTTAAAAAGGGTATCAGTTTTCGCTTTCCTAGACCTTAAATAGGGTTAGGGTCCACGAACTTTCGCAGCACACTCCTATCCAAAATTCTCGGGAGTCCCCCCCCCTCCCGGGGTTTCAATCCATTTTTAATATTTGCAATCCATTGCAACAGACGACGAGGAACATTATCAATGCCAAAATATAGTCTTAAATGACAAAACTGGACTATTATTCTTGGAATTCAATTGGTGAATTTAATCACTGTGTGCACCGATGGGAGAGATACAGCTGAGAGTGCTGACAAAGGCAGGACATGACACTCACTTTTCGTGGGCGTATCCCATTTCGAACTCGTACTTCTTTTAAGCCATTGCTTTACTGTGGTTCCAAAGTCTTGGGCGTAGTTCAAAGCACTAAATGTTTTGTGTTGAAGTGAGAAATCAGTTTAGGCTTTCCACAAGTGTGGTCAGAAGTTTTTTGTACATGGATACAGATTAATGTCGACACCCTCTTTTGCGTCCCTCAATGCTACCTTTTTCGCAGACGTACTTTTTTCGCGTATTTCAAAAGCCTCATAAAGATATCCAAGGGTTTAAGAAATGAATCTGCCGAAACTGTTTCAGAAAGACCGGTTTAAACACGAGCTTTTCTTATTATTAAAAAAGTCTCAATAGTTAGACCTCCAACATCAGTTACAAAAATGTTTTCTGGTAAGTACAAATTCCATGTACTTAAAAGAAAGGTTGCTGATGTCTTTGAACCCTCAGGAATTCTTTTTGGCCAGATCCAATACTAGGAGTCACAGCTTTTTTATTTGGGTAGTAATGTTTAACTTGACCATCTATTGGTTCCGTGAAAACAGTATTTTCCTTTTCCAAACACAGAAATCTTGTTAATATTAGAAGATGAATGATTCTTTGAGTTGTCTACAACCAGCTTTTTGACTGACCCTTTCTATTTGTCTGGTACTGCCCTGGTGCCTTTTGCACATATTAATATCAGTTAATTTGCCACCAGGTCAACAGCGGGACCAAAAAAATGTCAGAAAATAGCATTGGTGTTCGGAAAACTTTGTTGCTTTCATTAACATTAATATAGTATCACTTACCTGTAAACTTTTCATTTATCAGTTAACTACTAATTTTTTGGCCAATTATCAGTTAACTCCTTTTTTCTTGGCCAAATATCAGTTAACTGTTAACCCCATTCGCACCCTCAAGCTCCCCCCGCGGTTTTCCTGCAACTTTTCTCGATACGCTTTCTCCACTATCTTAGAGCCTTGAACAGGCTATTAATTAGACTGCGATTAAAGAAAACATACCATGCATACAGTCCGTCTTTTGTCCTAAGATCCTTCAAATGTTTAATGGCGTTTAGCAATTAAAGTTCGGAAAATAAACGCGGCCAGTCAAAAACAGATTGGAATAAGACGAGATGAGACAAGCCGCTTTTGTTTCTCCGCCCGGGTGCTTACCAAAGCATGACCTAATAGGACTGCCAGACGCCCGGTGGAGGAGGTGGGGGGGGGGGGGGGTTAATTCCCTTTAATGGTCGACACTGGGAGTTTCCGCCCGAAAAGTGTACCTTAGTCAGGCGTCGGGTATATAAAAGGGTAGGGATTTTACTAGTTAAGATATAAAAGCACAGGAAAATCTGTCATTGCGTGCTGTAAAAAGGATATGTGAAAAAGTCTAGAAAATTCGTGGTTTAGTGCTTCATTACAAAATAGACCGCGGTTCAAATTGGCGTCTGACAGAGCAGATATGCTGGATAGCGCCTCGGTCGACCCCCAGCGGTGACTGCAAAAGCGTCGGCACATGTTCCCCGTTCGGCGGGTGTGGGGGGGGCGTGGGGGGTGGGGGGGTTAATTCCCTGTAATGGTCTCCACTGGGAGTTTCCGCCCGAAAAGTGTACCTTAGTCAGGCGTCAGGTATATAAAAGGGTAGGGATTTTACTAGTTAAGATATAAAAGCACAGGAAAATCTGTCATTGCGTGCTGTAAAAAGGATATGTGAAAAAGTCTAGAAAATTCGTGGTTTAGTGCTTCATTCATATTTAAAAATACAGAGCGTTTACAGCAGTTAACTAAGGGATGCAGCGTTCTAAACCAAGAGAAAATGTCCAAACTAGGAAAGTGAAAGGCGTGCCATTTATGGATAAATGGAAGGTATACGAAAGGGTCACCGTCTATGTCAAAAATGGGACATAAAAAGATAAGGGGAGATGCATTTTGACTTACTTATAATATAGATGAACAAATTATGGCAAATATTCTGTAGGTTTTAAGGGAGCAATCATACGGAACGATCATCCCTCAAATATGAGAAACATAGGTTCGTATGTTATGTTTATAATTAATTAACACGAAAAAAGTCAAAGAGCATGTGATTTACTCTTAAAGAAAAAGTTCTTCATACTTAGACTGTTTCTTAAAACAGTAATTCGAAGTATGTTATGCTTTACATCTATTTAGAATAAAGCGGAGATCATCTAAAAGCTCAACAAAACTTGCTTAATCTCCTACCTTGTAATTTTATAATAGGATACTTGTATGAAGGCACCTATTTCTTTAAAAGAGGTCGCACTTTCCTTAAAAACATGTTGAGTAGCCCCCCGGCGTCCGAAGCCCTCACGGAAATAGGACTAAGAAATTGTTCGCAGTCCAGAGAAAATCAATTTAAGAAGCCGTTCTCACCATAACCTGGTGATATAAGATCACCATCAGCCTTACTTATACGGCCAAAGCCGAGTTGCTTTGGATAACAAAGAGTTCTGTTGCTTCAAACATCCTGCATGAATCAGTGATGCGATGCTGCGCTGAAGATTGCGTGCTTGCGCGTAATAATTAATTAATTTATAGAAATTTTTATACTTACCGCTTGTATGTGTAAGGTCCTCCTCAACCGAAAGGAAAAATGCTGTCGATGAACGATAAACTGTGACAAACTCTAGCTCAATCGAATCGGTGTTCAGCAAGCCAAGACGAATATTTCGAATTCGCTTCGTTTAGCACTTTTCACTCTTGATTGCCCTGGTGAGACGTAATTTTACTGCCCATCGCCCAATCAGGGAATCACGCGATGACAAAATATTAAAATTGACAAAATTCAACCTTGCGTTTCATCTACGGTTTATCATTTGATAGTGTCTGCTGCTATCTT